GTTCAGACGTGTGCTCTTCCGATCTCCCCAAAACCCCAAAACCCCATTAGATATAAATCTCAGTAATAGTTCTGTCAAATAATTAGAAACTTAAATTTAAAGTTAATATCTTTTTAACAAAATATGTTTGGAAGCTTAAACACAAATAATCAGCCAACAAATCAAACTGGGCAGAGTCTCTTTGGATCAAAATAACCTTAACAATAATAATAGACAATATTTTCATAGCCTTAAAACTAACCATCACTATTCCAAGAATAAAAACAAACTACTCAATCAAATTTCGGCGGTGGACTTTTTGGAAACTCATTGATAAATTAGTAGTAGCAGACTTAGAATCAAAATCAACCTCAAAGTCTTTTTGGATCATCATAGAATACAAATGTAGTGAGTGCAGGAGGCAGTAGTTTCTTTGGTGGAGCCAATTAAACTTAAGGTACTACAGGAGGGTCATTGTTTGGTGCTGCTTAGCCTTCAACTTTTAACTTTGGATCTACAGTTCCATCTGGTGGAGGTCTTTTTGGAGGGGGCTGTATGAGACCTGCTCCTACCAGTTTGTTTTCAAATATCAACGAAGATAAGAATGTATTCTAAATAGAGATCATGAACATTGCTAATCAAAACATCATCAATCCATACCAATCCCATTACAACCCAAATGCTCATTCAATTTAGATCAAACTCAAAGTTTATGATTCTAACGGGAATTACTAATCAGAAATGAATTCATTTGTGCCTTTACAATACATGATGGGGTCTAACCTAAAGATTGATGTGAAGAAAACCCAGTTTCATAGAGGAGGTTTATTTGGAGAACAGGGCCCTGCTTGCAACAGACTACATTTGAATGTAGATTTGGGTTAAGGAGGCAATTTATTCGGCGGCAATAATCATCATTTAATTACAGCTTAGACAGAAGTGATACCGCCTCCTCCTTCTTTCTAGCATTCTTAATTTAACCCTTAACCTCTGCCTTAAGCATAGTAGCTTCCTACAGCACCTATTTAATAACAGCAGAAAAAACCACCTGCAGAAAATTTCATTACTAAGTTAAATAATGATGAAACGAGGGAATAATCTAGATTGAAATTTTACCTAGAGAAATTGAAGAAAGAGGGTAATACGATTAATCCTAATGAAATAACAAAGCCAAGCTCACTGCAATAACTACAAAAGAAAGATAGATCATTTGATGAAAAGGAAGTAAAACCTGTAGATGATGGAGTTCCAAAATACAACTTTGAGAACCTCGATGCCAAGTAGCATATATAGCCACAATAAAAAGGTTTTATATTCAACCCTCCTTCGTCATAGTAGAATTTAGGCTTGGGTTTCGGAGCAGGCGCAAGTGGAAGTCTCTTTGGCGGTGGAGGTCTTTTCGGCTCTTCCTAGAATAACTCTGTTTAGCCTTCAGTAGGATTATTTGGAACAGCATAAAATAAATAAAATATCTCAGGAACAATATTTAATCAACAAGTGAACAACCCTCCATCATCATTATTTGGAGGCAAACCAAATAATTAAACTCAGAATGCTCCTTTCCAGTTTGGTAGTGGACCTTAAACTGGAGTAAGCTTATTTGGAAATATTTAGGTAAAATAATAACAAACTCCTCTATTTGGAGCTTAGCCATAATAGAAGCAAGCCCCATTAATCAAATCTCCTTCCTAATAACAAAATGCACCTTAGTTACAGGTAAATACTTTGTCATTTACCAAACCAATGGTCTAAAATTTGGAAAACTCTCCAAATCAAAATCCATTTGGAAAGTTGAATGCACTCTAACAAAATCAAACAACATCAATTACAAGCGGTTAAAGCCTCTCTATTTTCGGCAAAGGTAGCACCAATACTAATCAAACTGAAATGGAAAAGGATACTTAAGAAGATTCAAGTTCTGCTCAGGAGAGCTTTGGAAATCCCTTCACAAAAGCTGATTGAGTGAAATGAGGAAACAAAAAGGATTAACTAGATAAGCATGTATTCACAAGATTTATAATTTCAATTCATTTAATTTCTTAAACAATTTATTTGCGAAATTCAGTAATTGTGGGGTTTTGGGGTTTTGGGG